CAAAGTGAATCAACATTCACTTAAAACCTAGGGGGCAAGCTGCACAAGCCAACAAACAATACAGAAAACAAAAACCACAGCAGAGGAGGCAGCCCAGAAAGCAACACCAGACTCCTACAGCAAACAGCATAAGCAGCAGCTCTGACAACAACAGGTTGATTAAACAGTAAAAGTTGACAGCAACAACCTTCATCTTCATGAATAACTCCCATCTTCAAGTTTCACTAAACTTTCAATCTTCAACAAACACCAAGCTTCAACAAGCTCCTGACTTCATCTTAGCAAACAGCAAAACCCTAGCTTCAACAAGCAACCAGCTTCAACAAGCAGCAAAACCCTAACTTCAACAAGCAACCAGCTTCAACAAGCCCACTCCTAGCTTCAACAAGCTCCTAAACTTTCTCTTTACCAAACTTCAACAAGCACCTCCAAGGGGAAATCATTCAACAAGATCAAGTAGAAGTGTTAAGAAACTCAATGACAACCAAGGGAAGCCATTAAGATCTTAACACTGTAAAGGAACTGTATCCTCAAAGTTCTACTCTTTAAAGCATGCCATTCATCCCTCCAAGGGAGAGATGTGGCTTATTTAAGAGGGCTTTATGTCATTGGATGGAATGGAGATGAGCAATATACTCCATGTTTGAAGAAACAAGCAAAACTACTCTGATGCTCTTCCTAAAACCCTAGTCTTCCTAAGCTCCTGACAAGCACTCCACCAGATGAGAAATCTTCAATTCCAAGCTCCTTCAAGCTCTTCAAAGCATCTTCAATTGGTCCTCATGATCCTCCAAGCTCAAAAGCAACACCACACTAATCTAAGGGGAACTATTGAGTTAAACTAGTCAAGTTAGTTCATCAGAAACACCTAAAAGTTAGTCTTAAAATTAATTCTAATTAAAATACCAAAAATGATTGTAAAATCCTACAAACAATTATAAGGGTTCCTAAACCTCTTAAGAGTATGCCATACAAAAACCAGGGGGTTATTCATTCATTAAGTGCTAAAACTATGCCCTAAACCTAAGGGTACTATCCTAAAACCCTAAAATTTCAACACCTAATGTTCAATGTTCAAACTAACCTAAGATTCTCTCACAAAATTATGAGAAAATTACTAGGGGTACATTCACATCTAAGCTATCTAGCCCAAAAAGAATCAACTCAAAAATCATCACCAATCATTCATACCAAAATCAACAAGAAAGCATACCAACCATATTCAAGATTAACCAATTAAAAATGAAAAAATGCAATTAAAATATAAAATGCATGATTCAATTATTTTTTTAATCCTATTAAATTCTAGACCCTTTCAAGAGTTAGGTAAAAAAAATCTAGATTAAAAATGTTAATTTTTCTATTTATGGTGAATTATTTCCTAAACTATATGAAAAATATGAAATTAAAAGAAAATAATGAAAATTGATAAAAGAGTGTTGCAAATAGCAATTAAAACATGTTGTTATCCAGATATGGGCCCAGTTGGGGGTGCTACTAGAAAGCGAAGGCTAAGCCCAAACCAAACCAAACCAAACAAACCAGAAAAAAGAAAAGAAAAATGGAAAATCCTTGTGGCAAATAGCAAGTCTTTCACGTTGTGTTTTCTCATTGGGCCCAAATGGAGGTGTGGTTAGCAAGGGTTCACTTAAGCCCACCCAAAACACTTAAGTGAAACGGTGAGTTTTGACTAAACTCACTCTCTTCAGTTTGTGAAACACGATCGTGGTCGTTGGTTGGGGTTCTCAGTCAAGGTCAATGCATGATCTAATGGCTGAAGCATCGTCTTCTCCAAATATTCAAACTGGGAGGGAAATGTGCAGGACGGTGGCCTGAGCTTTGCGCCACCGTCTTCTCCGGCGAGACAATCCCAAAAATGCATCACACACAAAACTGAAACACCCTATCTCACTTAAAATCATCCCCTGAGTTCAAATATGCACTCCAATTCCAGTGATTCTCACCCTAACTCAAAACCCGATAGAAGTTGCAGAAAAATCACCAAATCTTGATCGTTGCAATTCTTAAAATTAAAGATCCTAGCATGAACTACATTCTTCAGGCTTCAATTCTAACTATTCAAACACCATTAAAACCTCAAGAACTAGGAGATATAAGCTTCAACAGAAAATGACATCACACTAATTTGATCTCTAATTGTCCAATTCTTGTGCCTAAATCCATCTGAGCAACATCTATAACCTATCCACATATCAAATGCTAATCAATTTCCCCTAATCTAAGCTAAAAAATGAAAGTTGCAAACCTGGAAAAACTGGATGAACAGAAGGTGCAAATGCTCGATTCAACCTCCAATCTTTTGCAGAATCACTCAAGAACCACTTCTAAAGCTTCTCCAATGATCAATTTGTCTTGAAATTCTCTCTATCTCCAAACCCGATTCTGAGATGCAATGAAGAAAATTCAGTTGCTCTTTCTTGTTTCTGGCTCAATCCTTCCCAAAAAAAGATCTGAATCCAATGCATATGTTATATAGAAGCTGATAGAACCCTCTAGAAACTTCTGTAACAACCTGAATGAGAAATTCAATTTCTCATATCCCTTGAAAATATCACATGCCAAAGCCATGCATTGCTCTGTTTCAGCGTTCAATCTTTCTTAAATTTCTCCTTTTGTGATATTTAGAATTGAATTGGATGTGTGATTGCCTTGCTTTTGATCTTATGGATTGTGATTGTTATGTTACTTCAACCTTAAGGTACAAAGGGGAACCATGTGTAAATGACCTCAAATCAAAAATGTGGTAATGTCATCATCACCTTTAAAATGCTTTTTCTGATCAAAATGGTATATAACATGGACTTGTTTGGCCACATATCAATTTTTCCACAATTTTGGCCTTTTAATCACTTTAATTTCTTCATTTCAAAGCCATTTCAAACCAACTTCTCCTATGAGCCAATTCAAAGCCTCCTTGATGCATGGTCAAGGTTAAAACCCTATTTTGAGCAACTTTATAGTTGAACAATGTTCCATTTGAAGCATGCAAGTTGGAGATTTTGGCCCATGCTTGAAAATGACCTATAATCACCAATACCCAAAATACCCCTGGCTTGCCAAGATCATAACTATAGTTCTACAAATCCTATCAAGGACTTCTAGTACTCTACAAAAAGCTAATATTAAGATCTACAACTCTCATGTTTACCAAGAATCCATTTGAAACCTCCTTAAAGGGAAAAAGTTGCTTGGAAGTCAAGTGACTTTCACAGATAAATTTCATAGTCCTCTGATGACCTGTAATTTGCAAGAACCATAACTTGAGTTCTATAAATCCCCTTGAGGACTTCTAGTACTCAAATTAAAGGTATTGAGATTCTCTACAAGTTTCATGTTGGCCAAAGATCCATTTGAAACTTGTATTTTGACTTATGTGGCTTTGAAGTTAGGCACTAAATAGGGGATTTTACAATGAAACCCTAATTTAGCAACTTCCCACATCCTTGATCCTTCTTTGCTTAATCTTGGCACAACACCACACATGTGTCAACATACCAATCCATGAGCCCCATGACTTCAAAGTAGGCTTTGATGCTCTCCAATTACTCAATTGACCTAGGATATACCCAGTTGAAACCCTAGTTGACTGCACCTCAACTGTGGCTCTCATACTTGAATCAATGACTTGCCTCAGCTTCAATATGGCCCTCTAGGCACTCCATGAGATCCATACACACTTCAAATTCACATTCCATATTTCTCATCCCACTGATGATTCTCAATATTCCCCAAGATAGGAGCAAAACCCACATGTAGGCACTCAAACTTCTCAAGACTTCAAATCATTTCTTGATGGCTTGGATGATGTCTCAAACTTGGATAAGACCTCTTGCTAGGCTCTTCTTTTGATAGACACCCTTGATCCCTTGTTGGATGCATTCTATGCTATGATATGCAAATGATTGGACTATGTACATGATGTAATTATGCAAATGAAATGCAATGAAACACAAATCAGGCAAGAAAAGGTTGAGCAAATTTTGGGGTGCAACAGAGCCACGTAAGATCGCTCAAATTCAAAAGTGTGCAACAAAACAAAGAGCCACAAGAAGATAGATCTTTCAGGTGGTTCCAAGAAACATGAAGGAAGGTGATATGTTGCTTAGATGAATTCTAGTACCCACTAGAATTGGAAAGCTGCTCCCCAATTGAGAGGGGCCTTACAAAATACGAGAAAGACCGACACATGGCGCTAATAAGTTGGAAAAGCTAGATGGTATCACCATTCCTAAATCTTAAAACTCAATTAATTAAAGACATTACTATAACTAGTTTGTTTGTATTGTGTTAGAAGTTAATAAGACCATGACTCCTGCCACCACAATCTGAAAAGAATAAAGTGACACTCTTTTCTCTTAAAAAAGAATGTGCTTTTATAAAAGCGTCATATTTACTAAGACCACAATTTGTCAAACAAATGTCAATTTATTACAATCATTTAGGATATTGTTGCCCTCATTGTGGCATCATTTTTAAATAAAATTTCTATTGCCTACTTAAGAAATTTTTGATGGTTTAATATCTATCTTTTTTTTAATTAAATAAATTTATAAAAAAATTTATGTATTTTCTATTTAAAGAAAATCTCAACCTAGACCTATTTAAGCTATAGTAGCTCTCGATCTCTGGTGCCTCTGATAGGTAAGTGAGCGTACTTCATGGAAACTACATTGATCAAACCTAAAAATAACATTTGTTTCGAAATTTTCAAATAAATAAAAGGGTGAGATGAAACCCAAAAAAATAAAATAGTGTAATGTAAGATAAGTAATAAGAGACAACCGCGTCAATGTGTCAACATAACATCGAATTTCGGTGCCTCTTTTAACGTGCCAAAAATCTGTGTTCTTTTTTCCCTCTCTCTTTCAACAGTACACTCACTCATTCACTCCTTTTCATGCTTTTATCTTCTCTCTAGTCCCATTTTCAAACCTTTTTCACACTCTTCTTCACCAACACTAACCCATTTTCCCCAAGATATGGGCGCTTCTGGCAACAATTTGCTCCAAGTTGTCCTAAAAAACTTCGACGTTCTTGCTCTGTATGATCTTCTCCTTTCAATATTTCTGCAATGCATTCATAAGTAGTAACATTTTATTGATTTTGTGTTTTTTTTTCAGGCCTTTGGTGACCCTCGTTTATCCTCTGTAAGCATGCTAAGATTTTGTGACTTTTGTATTTGTAGCATTATATGATTTATGTGTCTGTTTTTTTTAAATTTATTTGTTGATGCATTTTGTGACAGATATGCTTCAATCAAGGCCATTGAGACCAAGTCTAGTGTTGATGACCAACAATGGCTTACATATTGGGTTCTCTACTCTTTGATCACACTCTTCGAGCTTACGTTTGCCAAAGCTCTTGAACTGTAGGTTTTTTTTCAGTATTTTTCTTGAAGCAATTTGAGTTTTTCTTTTATTTAACAAAAAGTCTATTTTAAGGGTTTATGGAAAAGCAAGAGATTAACTTTATTGTTTGTGATGAAAAGTTATAACTTTAATTATAATTTAAAAGATCTTTTGTTACTGTTATAATGATACCTTTCGCATGAGTGCATCCATCTAAACACACCATTAAGACAATTAGTTAGTTTGTCATTAGAAAATTCACAATGAGAGAGTCTTACTCTTTAAGACTTAGCACATGTTTGTTTTTTAGTTGAAGACCACATAAATGCACGATCAAGATCAAGTTGAAACTATTAGTGTCAATAATTATTGGTTTCATCCCTTTTTCATACTCAGTACCAAGTTGAAACTATTAGTGTCAATCTTCAGCTTCTCGCATACTAGTACCAAGCACACTATTAGTGTCAATAATTATTGGTTTCATCCCTTTTTCATTGTTACACAAAATAATTATATTCAATGTGAACAAATTAATTTTTTATTTGTTTCCCTTACTTTCGAAACAAACTAATAAATATAATTAAGAGGACAAATCAACTTGTTATTCACATTCTCTCTAATTGATGCGGCTAGTCAATGAACATCAATTTGCTAATAAAAAAACTGATGACATGGAAGCAGAAAAGCCTTGATAAGAATATCTGCAACGCGCAACTGAGTACTGACATGAGGAAATGATATTAGTCGATCATCATACACATCACGAATTGAATGATAATCAGCTTCGATATGTTTGGTGTGTTAATGAAAAACAGGATTCACAACTATTTGGATGACACTTATATTGTCAGCATAAAATGAGGTTGACTTTATTTAAGAAAATCCAAGTTTAGACAAAAGACCACGAAGACAAATTATTTTAGAACAAGCATCAGACATGGCACGATACTCAGATTCAGTAGAAGATTTAAAGACTCTTGCTTGTTTCTTACTTTTTCATGAGATCAATGAGAAACCAAAAAACATGCACCAACCAGTGACAGATCGTCGAGTATCAAGACACTCTGCTCAATTGACATCACTATAAGCAGTCAATTTTGGAGCAATTCCAATATAAAAGAATAAACCACGATGAGAGCTTCGCTACAAGTAGCGAATTATGCGACGAACTTCTGACAACTGAAGATGGCTAGGAGAGTGCATGAATTGACTTACTTGTTGAACAACAAAAGATGTGTTAGGAAAAGTGATAGTCAGGTAGTTAAGGCTACCCACGAGTTGACGATTCAATAAGGGATCAGGAAAGAGACCATCATCATCACGATGATATTTAACATTAACCTCAAGAAAAGTATCCACTGGATTAGCCGATTGGAGACCAGTCATAGAAATTAAATCTGTGACATACTTGTGTTGATGGAGGAAGATGTTACAGGATGTAGAATGAATCTCAAGACCAAAAAAATAATGCAAATTACCAAGATTTTTCATGTGCAACGATGCTTGTAATTGTTGTTTAAGGCTTTGAATGGAAGCATGATCAGAACCAGTAATAATTATATAATCAACATACAGAAGAAGTAAGATAATTCTACTAGACGTTCTATGAATAAATAGAGAAGAATCATACTAACTATGAGTAAAGAAGAACCCAAGTAAAGTGGAGCGAAATTTTTCATACCATGCTCTATGCACTTGTTTCAAATCGTATAATGAGCGCACACCCTTAGATGACGAGAATAAACCTTGAGAAGGAGTCATATAAATATCTTTCGTTAAGTCACCATGAAGAAAATCATTTTTCACATCCATTGGATGAAGAGACCACCCGTTAGATGCAACTATAGAGAGTATCGTGTACGAACATATGTCATTTTAACAATCGGTGCAAATGTCTGATCATAATCAATTCCATATTCTTGCTTATTTTCTAAGGTAACCAATAAAGCCTTGAAACAGTTGAGAGACCCATTAGAATTCAGTTTCACAGAATACACCTATTTGCAGCCTATGAGTTTGATATTAGGGGGACAAAAGACAATATCCCATGTAAAATTCTCTTGAAGAGCCTGAAACTCCTCATTCATTGCTTTTATCTAACACACGTCTTTAACAGTCTGTACATAACAAGTAGGAACATATATGCTAGACAGTGAGGCAATCAGAGAAGTATGTGAGGAATCATACTTGTCTGGTGAATATGTATCTGGTGCTTTAGATATTTGATCAGAACGTCGTGGTTCGACTGATTCAGGATCAGGTGGCGAATCAGTGTCGGGAGGGGCAGTGGGAACCTATTTTTTGCGTTTGGCATATGTGATTCCTGATTTGTAACGTTCTATAGATTGAGGCATAAAGGAAAAATTGGGAAGAATAGCAATATCATCTGCGGTAGGAGAAAGAGAATGAAACATATATTGATTATAAAAAATGTAACATTCCTAGAAACTCGCAAGCGGTGATTAGAGACATTATAACACACAAAACCTTTATGAGAATTGATATATCCCATAAATGCACATTGAACAGATTGTGCTCCAAGCTTATTTCGTTCAAACAGAGGTAAGTGTGCAAAACACACATTCAAAATTATGTAAATCACCATAATCAGAATGAGTTTTGAAAAGACGAAAGAAGGGAGAATCAAAATCAATAATCGTAGAAGGAAGACGATTGATCAAGAGTACGGCAGTGGAAAGAGCCTTTACCAAAAATTGGGATGACATTAAAGCTTGAAGAAGTAAGGTGTGTTACATCTAGTAAATGACGATTCTTTCACTCTGCCATCCCATTTTGTTGGGGGGTATTGGGACAAGATCGCTGAGACAAGATCCCTTTTTTGTTGAAGGAACTCCTGAAACTCTTGAGACAAATACTCACCTCCAGAGTCAGATCGAAAATTTTTAACACTTGCTTGAAATTAGGTTTCAACATATGTCAAAAACTTCTAAAACATAGAAAACAATATAGACTTAGATCTAAGAAAATATATCCAAGTAAAACGACTCTAATCATCAATAAATGTGACAATATTTATAGTGAGCATGAGATGATGCAGGAGACATTCCCCACACATCACTATGAATCATCTCAAAACAAGTGGAGGCACGATGAGCACCTGATCGAAAATGAAGCGTTTTACTTTTAGCCAATTTTCAAACAGAATGAAATAGAAGCAGTACAAACGTGTTTATTTCTCAGAGGAACCCGTCATGTGATTGGATGCACCAGAATCAAGAAACCATGGTTGAATAACATTAAAAGACTTACCCTTAATTCCCAAGGCAGAATGAGCATAAAGTAACATTTGCTGAATCATTTTTGGTTGTAGAACACCACCATTAGATGTACTAGTACTGAGAGGGCCAACTGCAGAGTTGGTAGTGGCATGGAATGCCTGGGTTGGACGTTGTGCTGGTTGGGGAGGACGCATGTGACAATCAGAGATGATATGACTCCTTTGTTTGCCATAGTTACAAAACTTCTTATTGCACTGCGAGCAAAATGTCCAAATTTTTTGCAAGAAAAACATTGGACTTGTTGCATATCACAACCCTTATCTCTACTCTGAGCTGCATATGCAACCGTCGCAGGCTCATATGGTGTCTTTTCACAAAAACCTTCCATTTCCAAATCCTATTTCCTAATTCAAATCTGTGTTCCTGAAGTGACTCATTATTTTGTGACATTTCGATTAGATTATCATTATCATCGTTTTCAGAATTATCATTATTTTATACAAGAGAAAATGTAGGTTCGGATTCACAAGGTTCCTTACTCATAATAGGAGTAGGATTAAATAAAAAATCATGACTATTTTCTGTAGGTGCAGATGTAAAAGTCTCAGAGTTTTGTGATATAGGCAAAAATAAATTATTTAATAAACTCATGTTCTCAATTTGAAACGAGTCTTCCTTTATCCCCCCCCCCCCCCCCCCCCCCCCCCCGAAGATGAGTGTCATCAAAAAAAGGTTTATTTTTAAAGAATGTAACGTTCATAGTGACAAACATTTTCTTGTTTTTTAGATCAAAACATTTATATCCTTTTTGTGTTGGAGAGTATCTAACAAAGACATATTTTATAGCACATGGCTCAAATTTTCAACATTTTTATGTTTATGAACAAAGACTGTGCAACCAAAGATTTTTATAGTCAAATAAGTTAAAACACGAGTACTAGGAAAACATTCTTTGAAGACATTAATTGGAGTTTGAAAATAGAGAATTTTTAGAGCATTTTGTTAATTAAATATGCAGCTGTTAAAACAGCTTTGTTCCACAAATAATTTGGCACTTTATTCGAAAAAAGTAGAGCTCTAGCAACCTCCAGTAAATGCTTATTTTTCCTTTTGGCCACACCATCTTGCTGAGTAGTATTAGGACATGAACTTTGATGTACAATCCCATTTTTAGAAAAAAAAATCATCCAGGATAGTGTTAAAATATTCTCTGCCATTATCACTTCTAAAGACTTGGATATTTCCCGTTTAACAATTACACCCAACATACTCTTGTATGGTAATAAATAAATGTGATAAAATATTTTTTGAGAGAGATTGTACTTGTACGGTTAAGGCCTCAAACATCACTGTGAATGATAGAAAAATGTTTGGATGGTTTATAAGGATGTATTGAACATTGGGAATGATGATGCTTTGCAAATTCACATGCTTCACATTTAAACGAAGAAAAGTTCTTATTGTGAAAAAACATTTTCGAAACAAGTGTTTGAAGTATCGAAAACTAGGATGACCTAATCTTAAAAGTCATACCATAATGTTGTCATCTTTATTGTTCAAAAGAGAAAAAAATTCAAAGCAGGAACTTATTGTTTTTTAAGGTAGTTGTGATGCAGATCCAATGTCAAGGTAGTAGAGTCCTTCACTGTCCTTAGCACTGCCAATCATTTTCTCCGAGTTCAAATCCTAAAAGAAATAATGAGATCGAAAAAAATTAGTTTGACAATTTATATCTTAGGCTAATTTACTGACGGACATAAAATTACAAGATAAGTTTTAAACATGAAGGATATTTTTAAGAGTTAACATCGGAGACAACACAACTGACCCTTACCTGCAATGGCTGAAAAAGAGCCATCTTCGATTTTTATATTTTGATTACTTGCATATGGACTATATGAAGAGAACAAAGTAGACTCACCTGTCATGCAATCAGAGGCACCTGAATCTACAATCCAAGTATGACTGAGACTGACACTAAAAAATGCAGAATTATCTTTTGTTGCTATAGAGCAAGAAGTCGAGGAGTTTGTATAGTCTGTCTAATTGCTCTGTAGTGAGTGGAAGCTGAGACGAAGGGGACTGCTGTCCTTGATCAGAATTGCTAGGCAGAAATACACGACCACCTTTCTTCTTCCAGTTAGGAGGTTTGCCTTTGAGCTTCCAACAAGTTTCACGCGTATGCCATTCGCACTTGCAGTGATCACACCAAAGAACTTCGTCTGACCGTTTTCTCTCGTCAAGGTTCCTAGTAGGCAGAGTTGAGTTTTCAGATTTAGAGTTTCGTGGTGTCTTGCCAATCATAATTCTTTGTCGTGCATCCTCCTTTCTTATTTCTGCAAAAGTTTCACGAAGATTTAGCAATGGTATTTTTCCTAAAACTCTCCTCTTACCTCATCAAGATCTTTATTGAGCCCAGCGAGAAAAATGAATACACGATCATTTTCTTGCCTCTTGAGAAAAAAAAACGCTGTCTTCTGTACACCTCAAATTGTCATCATCACGGAGATCCAACTCTTGCCATAGAGTCAATAGCTCATTGTAATAAGCAGTTACACTCATGTCACTTTGTTTTCCATGCCATAACTTTGATTTTAAATCAAAAATTTGTGAGGAGTTTTAAATATCAGAATATGTTTCCTTAACAGCTTCCCAAACATCCTTTGCGAAAGGTAAAAACATGTAAGACTTACCTATTCCAGTTTTCATAGAGCTTACCAGCTACACAATAATCAAGGATTTTTCAGACTTCCCTTGTTTGTAACGAGGGTCTCTTGTTGTCGGTTCAGCTACTGCTCCTGTTAAGAAATAAAGCTTCCCTTTGCTATCCAATACCAATAGAACGGTTTGAGCCCATTCATTATATTTATTCTCATTCATTTTAGGGATATTGACCTTGAGAAAATATGAGGAACCCTCTTGATCATTACCGCCTATGTTAGAATAACTGTCACCAAAAACAATGTTGTTCCTGTTTCCATTGTTGCCGTCATTACTCCCAAAAACAATGTTGTTACTGTTTCCATTGTTATCGTTATTACAGTCATTGTTTGTGACCATCGACGATTCCTCTCGTACGTCATCTTTGCGACAACCGCCTTTTCCGCGGCCACTGCCGTCTCCTCTGCCGCCACCATTTTCGCGGACAATACCCGACTCCAGTTGTTGTTGTTCACTATTGTTGGATCCGATGTAGGCCTGTGTTGGGGAAAGCCATTTGTTGTTGTTATTCGTCATAGGAGGCTAAACGAGTATGTGAAGCAGGTCGGACAAAAAAGCGGGTTGAATAGAAAACCCCGAACACTACTAGTTATGGAAAGCTTTACAATAAACTCTAACTTAGTGCTTTTGATACCATATTGAAGATAATAGGTAAAATGTCATGTTATATTCCTCGGCCTCAGACCGGTTTATATAGTAGAGATATAGTTATTACACTTATTTACTCTTAAATGGAGAATAAAGAAAAATAAAAAGTATTAAAGAAAATGATAAAATTAGAAATAAAATATTTACCAACAACAAAAAAAATTAATGATGATTGGTAAAACAAGTGGTCATGAGATCAAGTTTTTGGGTAAACCATTTTGTCATATCATCTTATCCATATGATCAGAATTGGTGTCATGTGTAAACCATGTAATCATAGCATCAAAGCATGTCTTCATAGTTACGAGTTAATTATGTGATCATTGGGGTCACCGTTTATCATGACATTGTGGTTAATGTATGATTTTAAAACCTTAACTGCACAGGTAAGCCATAACCATGGTGTCAGAACCATATGGTTATTCGACTTCAAAGCTACGGTCATGGTTTAAGCATACTCGAGGCATGTGTAGGAAGGACTCAATTTTGTCGTTCCCATATTTCATGGTTCAAGATTTGTTTGTTAGCAGTAGGAACTTTAGCATTTTCTTGTACATAACACTAGTTCCCTTTTCGTTGTTATTTGATTTTGCTTTAGCATGATTTGAATGTCTTATTTGGTGGGGAAGATGAATTATTAGGAAAGTATTAGTTTTTAAGTTTACAGTTTCTAGCTTCCAATTGTTTTTGTTATGCCAAGTTTATAATTGCTAATTTCAGGCTTCCAATTTGGCCTTATGCGAAGTTGATACTGAGTTGTTGGTTGGTTCTTCCTCACTTTAATGGAGCAGCCCATGTTTATAGACACTATCTTAGACCATTCTACATGAATCCACAACTGCCACAAATGCCGCAAATACCAGGAACTTCTCAAATGTGGTATGTTCCGCGGAAGAACATATTTAGTAAACAAGATGATGTTCTTACTGCTGCAGAGAGATACATGCAAGAACACGGAACTGAAGCATTCGAAAGACTCATTACCAAGGTACACAAACACATCAACTTAGTTCTTACCTTAATCATGTAATGTAAAGCACTTACATATTGTTGATGTGCAGACTGACAGAGAAGCCAGAGCAAGGAGGAGCGGAAACTACATGATCTTTGATGATGATTATAGATATTAATTGCTTTAACCAAGAGATATTATATTGTTGTATGTGACAAATTGTTGTAATCTAATTAGTAATATTGCAGGCATGGCGAGATTGAATAGATTAACAGGTATCTATAATCAAATTAGTGAGTGTTTGTGTTGGTAAAATACTTCATATAATCTTCTCAGTAAGTTGTACTGTCTTTTCTTTAAATTAATAGGGAAGTCTCATTATTGAGAAAATTCATGGAATTCTATTTGGTTCCTTGGGAAATAATCTGTCTTTGATAGAAATTTATGTTGTGAGAGAAGTCTCATTCACATCATTGAGAAATTATGGAATTCAATCTGGTTCATTGGAAAGAATATTTTAGGCTTTGATAAAAATTAATTAAGTTTGAGTTTGAAAGCTAGCAGTTGCTGCTATTTGCTGTGCCTGCAGATTGGCTATCTATGTGTAAATATGTTTGAGTTTGAGATAAATAAGAAGGAAACTTAGCCATTGAAGTTCCGACACCGGAAGCAATGGCACGATATTCTGCATATGATGAAGAGCATGCAACTATGGATTGTTTCTTTGGTTTCTATGAGACAAGAGAATCACACAAAATGCAAAACCCAGCACAAAATTTCTTGTGGTGTTGCAAGTAGCCCAATGGAGATTGTTTAATGTGTCTCAAAACATGTGAGGACTCAATTGGTGTTCATCATAACTTATGGTGGGTCTTGTTGCCTAATAGAGGTGTCCAAAGAGTATTTGTTTTTGAAAATTTTAGCTAGTACCCTATTATTATCCCTCTACTTTCACATTTTTTTAAATATTTTAATTTTACTTTTTTTATTTATCAAATAATTTTATTATTTAATATTTATTATTTTTAAATATGAATTTTTTTTTATCAATTAACTTGCAATTAACTTTTTTGATATGTATTTTTTTTCCCACCAATGAACTTGCAATCAAGTTTATGGTATGTATATTTTCATCAAATAACTTGCAATCAAATTTTATGTTATATAATTTAACCAATTGAGAAAAATTACATAATGAAAGACTTAATTGCAAGTTATTTGATTAAAAAAATACATACCGAAAAATTTGATTGCAAACTATTTGGTAAAAGAAAATACATACCAGAAAATTTGATTGCAAGTTATTTGGTGAAAAAAATACATACTAGAAAACTTGATTGCAAATTATTTGGTGAAGAAAAAATACATACTAAAAAACTTGATGGTGAAGAAAAAATACATACTAAAAAACTTGATGGTAAATTATTTGGTGAAGAAAAAATACATATCAGAAAACTTGATGCAAGTTATTTCATAAAGAAAAAATACATACAAAAATAAATAAATATTAAATAATAATATTATTTGATAAGTCAAAATAGTAGAATTGGTATATTGTAAAAAATGTAGGGGTAGAAGGATAATGGTAGGGATATGAGATAAAATTTTCCTTCGTTAATAGATCTCCTATTAGGTGTGAAGCCAAAAACATAACGAACATTTAACTTGACACCCCATACTTAAATATGTCAACCCCCATTTTAAGCAATTTTATCGTTATATTTTTGGATGAATTTTGAAAATTTTAGACATTTAAAGATTTTTATCGAAAATTTTAAGTCTATACAGCAAATTTTAGAAATTTACAGTGTTTTTCCTGCAATCATGACACATGTATCGTGAATTTAGAATTTCCAAGAAAAAATATATCTGAAAATTTCCGGTATAGGTATACCAAAAATTATGAAATTTCCATAAAATGTTACAACATTCCGGAAATTTTCAAATTTCGGGTATGAGTCCAGAATTTAAAAAAAAAAATCGGTATTTTCCACAAAGCCTGCATAATTGTTCCGATAAAAAAAACCCACCACATATTATAGATACACATTTTCCACAAAACTATGCTACATACAAGATTATATTCTATGACTATGCTAATACTTCAGTTCGGAACTCAAATATTTGTCATTTACATCACATAAAACGTATACTATCAATATCATATAGAGGCTGAAAAATATTTAAATTAAACCTGTTACATAGAAAATATATTGCGTCAGTGGTGAAGAATTGCGTACAATCGGTATACTAATCTGTAGATGACCCTGTCGGCTCGGACCACACAAATAAAATATTTTTCCTGTTTTCTGCATTGTTACTGGAAATTTGATCTATATTCAAAAATTATGATTTACCGGAAAATTTGCAAATTTTCTGAAGTTTTTGTTTCTCCTCGGAAATTTTGACAATTTCCAGTATGAGTTTAAGATTTTCTTGGGAAATATAAGATTTTTTGAAATTTCAAGTATTTTTCTCTAGAAATTTTCAAATGTTCGGTATAAATGCGAGAATTTCTAGAAATGCGAAAAATTGCTTACCAGAAATTTCATTTTCTGTATGTTAGTAAGAGTGAAAATTTTGGAAGAAAAGTAAAATTTGGTTGGTAAATAATAACAAGAATATTTTTGAAATTTTGAAATTATAGAGAATGCAAGGTATAAGTGGGCAGTGGCACGTTAAATTCTCAAACATAATGTATGCCAGGTCTTGTTGTCAAATAGAGAAGTCGTCTGACGAGTCTTTGTTAGTAGGCCTCCTAATAGGCGTGAAGCTAAAAACTCAAGTAATTCGGTCCAATTTTTGTTATTTAGTGTGTTTTAAATAGAATAAGGATGATACTTAGTGGTAATCGGATTGTTGTTAACTGTGGTTTGGCTGAGAGACTAAGCTTTATAATTCCTAGAGGTTGATTATTATTGTGTCAATTATTTTCTTTTAATTGGCAGTTATACAATATTGTTGTGTCTGATACAACTTCCATTGAATAAAAGTATTTATATTGTAACTACTCTTGCATACAACATTTATCATATCCTGTCAGATCCTATCATTGGTACTAGTGGCATTGATCGAGTGCATGGTACTTACAAGATTAAAGATGGACACAAGATTGGATCAATTTAATGGCGTCTTGTACAAGTTTTCAAGAATTGCAATAGAGCATGGAAGGCGAGAAAGTGATTTCCCTATGGTGCATTAATGAATTGAAAGAGATTGTTTATGGCCTCACAATTGCGACCTCCAACCACAAATGTCCCACTTCATCGAATAACTAACAACGCTTCAACACTAGAAATCTCAACGATAATTGCGTGCCAGAAGAAAGGTGGAGGAAATTGCCATACCTATTTTCGAATACGAGGATGCATATGGATGGGTTAATAGAGTTGAGCGTTATTTCGAGTTGAAAGGCGTTCTGGAAGAAGAAAAAATGTAGGCTGACATGGTTGTCATGGAAGGAAAGGAACTTTCATGGTATCAGTGGCAGAAATTTGCTTCTCTTCCTACTTGGTCTGACTTTAAGGTTGCACTTCTGAAGCAGTTTCAACCAACGATGATGAGTAGCACCTACGAACTCTTGATGATTCTCAAACAGATCAGTACTATTGAAGAATTTCAGGCTAAATTTGAATTATATGACGGAACCCTCTGAAGTGTTGAACCTGAATATTTGAAAGAAATTTTTATTAATGGGTTGAAAGATCTTATTAAAGGTGAACTGAAATTGCACCATGTTGACTCTTTGCCATAGATGATAGACTTTGCGAAACACATTGATGATCAGAATATAATATTATACAAATATGGAGAGAGCGACCATAAGCCACAAAATTCCACAAAATCATTTCCATCAAATCACATTATTTCTTAGGAACCCCCGACCAAAACAACGCATCAAAAAACTCTTCCAATCATTATTTCCCATGAAACTACCATAAACATCTTTATAACAACTACATAGGGGCTTTTAAGAGGCTCTATGATACTGAAATGTGGAATAAACTTCCCAAAGGCTTTTTTTTTCATTGTGAAGAAAAATTTGTATCGGGATATGTTTGTGCTAATAAAAAACTTCATATTTTGTTAATTAAAGAGGAAGTTGAATCGACGACACTAATAATGTTGGCATAGTAGCCAATGAGTTTTAGAATCTGCACCTTTCAATGTTCGTCATTTCAAATTTTACTTCCAAGAAAACAATCTAAGTGTGGGGAGAGATAGAAGGTCAAAATTTTATTGTGCTAATTGATTGTGAAGGCTCTCACAACTTTATTTTAACCCTTTTGGTGGAAGAAACATGCTTTCTAGTTGTGACGATACATGTTTGCACAGAGGAAGTGTGGGGTGGCCGAAAGGTTCCTTATGAAGGACTTTGTGAGGCTTTCTATTTGAATATCTAGGGCATTGCCATAGAAAAATAATTTTATGTCTTTCATATGTAGGATTTGATATAATTCTAGTAATTGATTAGTTGGCTCAGTTAGGCAAAATTCGTGCAAATTTTGGTGAGCTCTTCAAATTCCAACAAAAGAGGGTTATCATGTGTTACGAAGAGATCCTACATTTGCTAAAGTTTCCATTTCATTGAAGACATTTGTTCAATAGTTGCATTAGGAAAATGAGGGCTTTGTACGAACATGTTATGTACTTTCTTCGTTTTTGGAACCAGGACAACAATTGTCAATGTGGCTACGAATTATTATGGACAACTATCTGGAAGTGTTTACGGACGTCCAAGGACTCCCCCCACAAAGATTTCATGATCATTAAATTTTTTTGAAATAAGGGCTCGTCATTCCCAAAATAAGGCTCTATAGATATCCTTGTTATCAGAAGACAAACATTGAAAAGTTAATGGATGATATGCAAAATTTGGGAATTATACGTTCAAGTGTAAGTTCTTATTCTAGCATTATTATTCTCATGAAGAAGAAATTTGGCAACTAGTAGCTCTATTTGGATTACCAGGGTTTAAATAACATCACAGTTCCAAATGAATTTCTTATCCAAATCATTACAGAGTTATTATATGAGTTAGCAAGGGCCACTATTTTTTCAAAGTTGGACTCAAAACCAAGATATCACCAAATTTAAATGCGACCAGAGGATGTTCCAGAAAACACTCTAGCCTCATGAGGGCCATTATGAGTTTCTTGTTATGCCCTTTGGATTGAA